AGAGTTTGGGGGGAAGGATTGATTCTAAGGAGGGTGAGGGCCTCTCGGGTTCAGACAGCGGACTTCTAGCAGCCTCAAATATGTTATTTCTGGATGAGACCATAGTATGCTGCTAACAATCAACTCTCGAAAGAAAGAAACCAGGATGTGTGTGTAGCTTTCCAATTTCCATGGTGTAAGCACCATCACTGTGGCCGATTTCAAGGCCCCAGCGTGAGGTCACTGAGCAGGTTTGGGCAGCGATGAAGGGGTTTGGAAAACAGCATGATTTTGTGGTATTTCTACCACACAGATACAAGAGGTGTAAATAATTTCAAGACCACAAATAACAGTAAAATAATTTGGAGTGGTGGGTTTTGAGTACTTATTACCTTTGTTTTACTATAACTTATTTAGTTCTAAGTTTATGTAATTTAGTTTTTAATAATGACTTATTTGACAACCAACTTTCAAAACTGCCTGCACATCTCATCATGGCCCTCAGGACGAGGCTGGCTCCTGTGCACCCAGCGCCGGGCACAGTGCCTCGTGTGAGGTCATTTCCACGGCCACGTGTGTCCTCCCCCAGCTTCACAGACGGCGACTTCCACCTCCGTGTCCTCAGACTCCACTCTCCACAGAGCCCTGGCCATCATGAACTCCCTGACTTAGAATATTTCATCCGTATTTGTGTATGAAGGATCTTTTATGTTGAATGTTATTTAAGCCCTAGGTTTAATTTTTGTTTTTGTACAGGATAGAAAGCAGATGAACACATACGTTATCAGATGGTCTCTCTGTACAAATAATGCACGGCCCAGATGCTTATGGTCTGGAATCATTAGCATAACATATGCTTCCGCTCAGAAACGGCAAGTGCGGCGCAATTCTGAAACAGCTCCTGCCTTAGCACGGACATCCTGGTCTATGCTTAGGTCTGATTTTGGCAGATACACAAGTACCTTCTTGCCAAAGGCTGTGTCCCCAGGCCACTGCTTGTGCCTGGCCCAGAGCAGAGGCTCCGAGTGGTGGCACCACTTCTGTCATCGTCAGGACCACTGTTTCCCCTCCTACGCCTCCTGCTCACCAAAAAGGGCTGTTGACCGAGGGCTCCCGAGGACCACCGAGGGCCACTGAGTGCACCTCACCATGGCAGGCACACTGCAGCCAAGCGACCCTGAGTACACCCCACCATGGCAGGTACCCTGCAGCCAAGCAGCCCTGAGTACACCCCACCATGGCAGGTACCCTGCAGCCAAGCAGCCCTGAGTACACCCCACCGTGGCAGGTACCCTGCAGCCGAGCAGCACTGAGTACACCCCACCGTGGCAGGTACCCTGCAGCCGAGCAGCACCGGTGAGCCCTTGGAGGTCAGAACTCAGATGCAGAAGCAGACAGTACCTGGAACCGAATGCCTGCAGGCTCCATGCAGGGAGCAGCGTGGCGGCAGGAGCTGAGAAGGGAAAGGCGTTGGGGAAGAGGGAGGCAGGCAGAAGGAGCAGCTCAGGGAGCTCATCAGTGAGGGAGGGTGAGTGGAGCAGAGATGAAGAGATGGGATACGCACAGCCAGGGAGGAGGATGAGATGGAGAGGGAGAGACAGAGACAGAGAGAGAGAGAGAAAGAGTGACAGAAACAGAGAGATGAGGACAGAGATAAAAAGACAAAGATAAGGAGAGAGAGACAGAGACGGGCACAGAGAGAGACAGAGACAGACAGACAAGGACAGAGATGAAGAGACAAAGCAAGAGACAGAGAGACAGAGGGAGAGACATAGAGACAGAGGCAGAGACAGAGGCCGAGAGCAAGAGAAGGAGGGAGAAGAGATGATGGGGACAAGGGGAAGCTAAGTCTAAGACAGGTGAGAACCAGGGACAGAACCAGAAGGTGGGCTGGGCGTCGAGGGGCCTCGGCCAGTGGCTGGGGGCATTTCAAGCTCTGCCTGTGCCCCCACACCCGGGCACCCCTCTGTCTACTACACCCCTGTCCTGTCACCAGACTCGGGAGTGAAGCACTTGTGAATGGAGAGAGAGGACACAACTCTGTTCTAACCCGGCAGGCGCTTAGGATTAATTCCTGGACAAATTCAGGAGTTCTCACTCCAGCCACCCAGAGCCATGGGCGTGACAATTTCCACAAACTTTTATTCTCTTTTCAGAAGGAGTCTAGAATCGCCCCAAATTCCCAGTCACTGAAAACCCCTGGCCGGGAAGCAGTGTGGACCTTTGTTTTTCAAGGAGATTTTGTTACAGAGAGAAAACCCTGCCCCTTGAGTGGCCACTGAGTGCCCGGACCTGCTGGCGTCGTGTGGGTTTGCACCCATGTCCGGACCTGCTGGCATCGCGTGGGTTTGCACCCATGTCCAGCGTCGCGTGGGTTTGCACCTGTACCCAGACCTGCTGGCGTCACGTGGGTTTGCACCTGTGTCCAGCGTCGCGTGGGTTTGTACCCATGCCCGGACCTGCCAGCATCACGTGGGTTTGCACCTGTGTCCAGCATCGCATGGGCTTGCACCTGTGTCTGGACCTGCTGGTGTTGCGTGGGTTTGCACCTGCGTCCAGCGTCGCGTGGGTTTGCACCTGTGCCCGGACCTGCCAGGGCCGCGTGGGTTTGCACCCGTGTCCAGCATCGCGTGGGTTTGCACCTGTACCCAGACCTGCCCGCGTCGCGTGGGTTTGCACCCGTGTCTAGCATCGCGTGGGTTTGCACCTGTGCCCGGACTTTCCGGCATCACATGGGTTTGCACCTGTGCCCGGACCTGCTGGCGTCATGTGGGTTTGCATCTGTGTCCAGCGTCGCGTGGGTTTGCACCTGTGTCTGGACCTGCTGGCATTGCGTGGGTTTGCACCTGTGTCCAGCGTCGCGTGGGTTTGCACCTGTGCCTGGACCTGCCGGTGTCACATGGGTTTGCACCTGCGTCCAGCTTCGCGTGGGTTTGCACCTGTGCCCAGACCTGCTGGCATCATGTGGGTTTGCACCTGTGACCGGACCTCCTGGCGTCGTGTGGGTTTGTACCTGTGTCCAGCGTCGCGTGGGTTTGCACCTGTGTTTAGCCCACCGTCTATGGATGTTGAAGATCCCAGGACAGCCAGGTTTCAATTCTGTAGATGCTAATTTACTTCATTTTTCTGGGGCACCAGAGAGTAAATTTAGAAACCCAATGCTATCTTAGGGCACCAAGAGAATTTCAGTTGAGGTGAAAATTATTGCTTTTTCTCCGTCATGAATAGATGAAAATATTACAAAGGAGGAAGACATTTGCTTCTGAAAAATGAGCTATTTGTTGACAATGGGCTGTTCCCTATGATGCAGAAACCACGACCGGCTTTGGTCTGCTGTCATTAGGCCGACCCTGCGGCTCCCCAGCCAGGAGTGCCCAGAGCTGGGAAGGAAAGGGCACCATTTTCCCCAGCTCTCCTACCATTTCCATGAGAAGGCGGAACCACTGCTGTCAGGACTGGGGTTTCATCTGCCTGGGCCCCAGAAGCCAGTCTGTGTGGATCCTGGGGAGCAGAGCTGTAGGGGACGGTAGGGGCTGGGGCAGGTGAGGCGGAGGCAGGTGCAGCGGGGGTCTCCCCTTCCCTCCTGGGCTCTGTGTCCCCTGATGTCACCCCCTTGACCTCCAGCCCCTTGGGTTTTGTGGACAGGCCAGGGCCCAGCGCTCGGGGTTAGGATGGGTAAATAGTCGTCCTACTATCTGTTGGGCACATGGCAGGTGCCCGTCCCATGCAGGCACTGGAGACACAGCCCACCCCAATGGGGCGTCTGTCTGTTCGGGGTGGCTGCGTTTTGATTAGGATTTTATGGGGGCTGGCTGGGCCCTCCCTCTCCCTTCTCTCCCCAGGTCCTGCTGTGGCAGTCGAGAGCCCAGGACCCCGTGGGCACAAGAGCCTCCATGCAAGCCTAGGGGTGATGCGCTGGGTCCTCCTCGGGCCTTGGACTTCCTGCCCCTCCCCACTCAGCCTCCTTCCTGCACATCCTGGGGACCAACCTTTGCATCCCCTGCCTGGCTCCACCACAAAACGTCCTTACAGAGGGTCTCAGAGCCACAGCCTCGTTGGGAGTTGGGGGTGGTGCCCAGAGACCACATTTGCGCCAAGTGCGCTGTTTCCACTCCAGCTGCAGATGACAGAGGAACAGGACGACCAGAGTGTCCAGGGGCGTTCTGGGTCACTCAACCCAGACTTCCTGTGACCACGTTGTTATTAGTTTTTTTTTTTTAAATCAGGCTTGCGGGGAGTTCATGGCTCTTTAGGGAAACTCATGCTATCCCCACACCTGTGACCCTTATTTTCCAAACCAAAGTTACAGAAATGTCCTGCAGTGGGGATGGCACTCTCGGGGCATCAGGCCAATGTGGGGGAGGTCTCAGGGCATCAGACCAAGGTCAAGGAGGTCTCGAGGCATCAGGCCGAGGTAGGGGGAGGTCTCAACGCGTCAGACCAAGGTTCAGGGAGGAGCTCGGGGCGTGGCAGCGACTGGAGGTGCTGGGAGGGAGGCGGGTGCCCATTCTGCACCTTCCTGCTGCTCTGCACAGAGCTCAGCGGAGGCACCTCATCCGGAGACCTCCACACGGAGGCTCTGAAAACTCCTTCCAAGAAGACAACCTCTCTGGGTGGTGGGGGGAGGTGTTCCAGCAGCTGACCTCAAGGCCTGTGGCTGTCCCTGGATGATTTTGTCAGGTTTTGGTGGAAAGCGCAGCGGGCAGGGGAGGCCCTGGCTTCTCATTAGCCTATGGCCACCCCGAATGGCCGGCAGCCTCAGGCCAGGCTGTGTTTGCCCCATGCAGCGGCAGTCTGGGGTGGCCGGGCCTTGCTCACTCGGGGACTCGGGGTGCCTTGGCCTCAGGGTGTGGGACTGAACACGCGGAATGGCTGTGGAGTTCCACGACTCAGGCACAGGGCCCTGACCTCATGTGCCCAACATCTCTGACCTCACCAGAAGTGGTACGCAGGGAGCCTGGGGCTTGGCGCTCCCCCACTGGCCGCAGCCAACGTCCACAAGAGGAAGCTATGGGCCTTACCTGGCAATCTTGTCCGTGCAGGACATGGTGACCAGCTGCTCCCCCAGCAGGACGCCGTCCCAGGTCTGCACTGCACTGGGGCCACGCACGGGGACTGTCCCTTCCCCGGACTCGATCTTGGTGCGCAGGTGCCCGCGGAACTTCCTGACGAGGTGTTTGCTGCTGTGCACTAGGAGAGAAGAGGACGGGGAGGGGTGAGAAGAGGGAAGCCGCCTTGGTTTTGGGAGGTGGGAGAGGAGGAAGGACTGCAACAGAGGTCCAAGGGCCCCTCACCATGGCCAGGCATTTGGCACGAGGAAGGGGCGTCACAAGTTAGCGCTGTGTGGGGGTGGGCTCCAGAGACACACCATCCCGCCTGGGCTGGGCCAACTTCCCAGTCAAGGGTCAGGGAGTAAAAACCCAGGCTTCATGAGCCAGACTCTCTTTTCACCAACACCTGCCTCTGCTGCGTAAACGCAGCCACGGCCTGGACCGTGCTCAGGCTAGTGAGGGACCACTGCGTCCTCAATGCTTCATTTTCCTTCGTGGACTTGAATACGCAGTTGGATGTGTCGTTTTCAGGTGTCGTGAAATATCATTTTTCTCACTTTTCAGCCATTAAAAATGTAACTATTTATGCTTAGCTGGAGGGCTGTGCAGAAGCAGGCGGTGAGTGGGACTCAGCTCTTGCCCTGGTCCAGGTGTCAATCCCGGCTCCATGGTAAGCTGGCTGTGTAACCCTGGGAACGTGTCTCAAAGTCACTGTGACCCAGTGACTTCCTCTAACGACAGGGGTAGAGCAGTGCTTGCTGTCCAGGCTGGGAGGAGTCAGCGAGGTGGCTCCTGTGAAGGTGCTGGGGTCGCCTGGGCACCTCCGCTCTCACTGTGTCCTCTAATTACCAAGGGTCTCCATGGGTAGGAGTTCCATGAGGCCCAGAAGTGACGGAGCCTCTGGTGGGTCTCCGTGGGTCCCTCAGGTGTTCTGTGTTCTCCTTTCCAGGGTCCCCTTGACACCCACCGCCCCCCCATATCACATTCCCCATAATTACTTGGAGAACTAGCATGAGCAAGAGGAAGCTTAAATTTATATTTTTCTTTTTTTGAAAAAATTTTGTATGTTTTTGTTTTGTTTTGTTTGAGATGGAGTCTCACTCTGTTACCCAGGCTGGAGTGCAGTGGCGCAACCTCGGCTCACTGCAACCTCCACCTCCTAGGGTTCAAGAGATTCTCCTGCCTCAGCCTCCTGAGTAGCTGGGACTACAGGCATGTGCCACCACGCCCGGCTAATTTTTGTATTTTCAGTAGAGACGGGGTTTCACCATGTTGGCCAGGCTGGTCTCGAACTCCTGACCTCATGATCCGCCTGCCTCAGCCTCCCAAAGTGCTGTGCTTACAGGCCCGAGCCACTGAACCCAGCCAAAATTTTGTACGTTAAATCTGGATTGTATTGTAATATGGAAATGACCTACTGCTTTGCATTTGAATTATATATAAAATAGTATAGTGATTCTATCATTTATATACGTATGATGACATAAGTGAATATTAAATACTTTCTTTAGAAAGTTCCTATTGAAGTTTCAGAAGCTGTGGAAATGGAATTTCCCCCTCACTTTCCCCAGTGACAGTGCTTGATATGGCTGGGATCTGTGTCCCCGCCGAAATCCATATTGACATGTAATCCCCAGTGTCAGAGGCGGAACTTGGTGGGAGACGATTGGATCATGGGGCGGATTTCTCATGACCGGTTTAGTACCGTCCCCTTGGTGCTGTCCTCGTGGCAGTGAATGGTTCTCATGAGATCTGGTCATTTAAAAGTGTGTGGCATCTCCCCTCCGGCTCTCTCTCGCTCCTACTCTGGCCATGTCACCTTTCACCATGATTGTGAGCTTCCTGAGGCCTCCCCAGAAGCCAGGCAGAAGCCATGCTTCCTGTACAGCCTGTGGAACCTTGAGCCAATTAAACCTCTTTTCTTTATAAATTACCCAGTCTCAGGTGTTTCTCTAGAGCAATGTGAGAATGGACTAATACAGTGCTGAATGGTAACTAATGCTTGGGTTTATATAGGAACTTTCTCCTACAGATCCCAAGTAATTTCCAGTGTCTTTTCTAATTGTCTCTAAGAGCTGACATTATTTCACTATACATTCATAGTACCTAACGCTATGCATTGGGAAGAAAGATCACTACATTCTTTGGAGAAAAGACCTTTTGAGAGGCTTCAGATGGCTTTTCACTTTGTAACCAACTAGATACTTGATGAGATAAAATTTGGACCCGTCTTTGAGTCATTCATGGAAAAAAGAGCCAAGGAGAGGTATTGAGCCTGGGCAGGCACAACAAATAAATGCCCAGCCCTTCCCCAGATAAAGCACAAATCTCTTCTTTGCAGCTTTAAAGGTGATGGTGATGATAATGATGGTGGTGATGGTGATGGTGATAATGGAGGTGATGGTGATGGTGAAGATGATGGTGGTGTGGAGATGGTGATATGATGGTGATGTTGGTGATGGTGATGATGGTGAAGATAATGATGACAATGGTGATGATGATGGTGATGGTAATGATGGTGGTGGTGATGATGGTGATGGTGGTGGTGATGATGGTGATGGTGGTGATGATGGTGATGGAGATGGAGATGGTGATAATGAAGGTGATGATGATGAGGGTGAAGATGATGGCGATGACGATGTTGATGATAGTAATGAGGGTGATGGTGATGACGGTGGTGATGATGAGGGTGATGATGATGGTGGTGGTGGTGGTGAGGGTGATGGTGATGATGGTGGTGGTGATGGTGATGATTGTGGTGATGATGGTGATGGTGATGATGGTGATGATTGTGGTGATGATGGTGATGATGGTGATGGTGCTGATGGTGGTGGTGATGGTGATGATTGTGGTGATGATGGTGATGGTGATGATGGTGATGGTGGTGGTGATGATGGTGGTGGTGATGATGGTGATGATGAGGGTGATGGTGATGATGGTGATGATGGTGGTGGTGATGATAAATTGAACATAAAATAGTTTGTATGACTCAAAACACTTGGTTCTTTATGAACATCAACTTTCTGTGGAAGGCAACATTGAAAGCATGGAGGAGCCATCACACTTAACAGTTTCCACAACATTATCACAATATTAGGGACTTTACTCTTCCATTTGGGGGATATTTTCTCAGGGAATGTGGTTGTTGCTGTCCCTCCATTTCTGTTAATTATAGTATCCTTATATTCTCCCAATGTTTCAACCATTGTGGTCTTTTTCGAGATCTTGAAAGTTGCCTATTATATTGTAAGACTTTTCTAAATTCTTACCAGTTGCTACTGCACAACTAACTTTCCATGAAGTAGACTTGATAGCTTGTTAATGCCATGACAACAGGGAGGCCCGGCTTTAATTAACAACTAGTTCCTAGGAGTTAACCGAAAGCTTTCAGGTTAGACTAATTTTGCCTGAAGAGCCAGGTGCATGAGATGCTCCTGAGTGTTTATCTTTGGAGGTGTTCAGTCTTGGGCTGCCTTCTCCACAGGCTCCCTGATAAGTGAGCAGCCCTAGGGTGACCTGAATGTCGGTGATCCTGCAGAGCCCATTTCCTCTGGCTCTTTGCTGGCTAATTGTGAGAGGTGGGAAGGAGTTGAAGATGCCACTTAAGGCTGAACAAAATGCGAATCCAACCAGCAATTGCAGGGAGCTGGCCCTAAATGATCTGTAGTGGATTTAGAGTGTGCCCGAGACAGTGAAAGCATAGAACCTCAAACTCCTGACTGCTGTGTCTACATAGATGCTCCCAAATACATTCAAACATTCTGGTCCAATTCTGACAGTCCAAGTCATCAGACTCTTCATTACGGTGTTTATTAACCTATATAAAACCCTAGATAAAATGCTTATCTTTTGAGGTCAATATCAAGGTAAATAAGGATAGTTTTTAGATCCTCATTTCTAAATGAGGATGTGCTTTAGAAAATTGTTCCAGTGAATATTTTATTTTTAGGGGAGAATCAAAAGGAGTTGGAGACAAACAACATGAAGCTTGTCCTCTGGGGAGCTAAAGATTTATCTAAAATGTGATGCATGGTTGCTACAATCGCAAGGGGGAGAGAGAGCACCAAAAATGAAACAAACCACAGGCATGAGAAAAGAAGAAAATATTTTTAAACACCAATAAATTTTAGATTTTCAAACTGTCTTCAAAAGGCATATCCTAGAAAGTCTACCTGTGAAGCAACCCGGTGTTCATTGTAATAAAAATAATATCCACAGTAGTTACCATGTGGCCATGTGGGTACACTTTGCTTTACTTGATTGATGATGATGATGATAGTGATGATGCTGGATTATAAGGCCATTAAAATTCATTATCCTACAATGCACGGATATTATCATATTTTGCATATTTCTGTAACTCAATAGGAAAATCTGAAGACAGGAATTTAAGGAACTGTATTTTATATTCCCTGACTTCCTATGGGATTTTGATTAAATCTCTTGAACTACCTTTCTAATCGTTGAATGGAATTGGCTTAGAACAAACATACTAGGCTCTTAGCATGAACTTGTAGGTAAATATATGACATAATCTAATTTTCTTGGCATTTTCTGGACATAGACTGGAGAATTTAAGCTGCTAAGTTCTCAGAAAATGGCCGTAAGAACTGAGTTTACCAGGTTATTTAAAAACCATGCCAAGAAAGAAGAATTTGCAGGCAGGTCATTGGTGGGTTGGGAGGAGAGGAGCTGCTCATCCACAGTGAAGTACTAAGATCCTCATCTTCTGTTCCATCTGTGCTCTTTCAGGTCTGAGTTCTATCCCAGGCCTCCCAGAGCCACTAAGGGACCCGTTGCCCTCTGTGAGTCTGCACTGACAGCAGTCATCAGAACCCTGACTCTAACATAGACACACACAGCATGTTCTCCTGGCTGTGGGAATAAATGTCTTTCAGGCACTTGTCCCTACCTTAACTGACCTGGCCCTTCTAGGTCCAAGAAGCCACAGATGTAGCAGTTTTGAGTCACCTGAGATGAATAGAGTAGCCCTGGGTCGCATGACATTGAAGACTGAGTTCGTGGTTTCTGTCACAAAAGCACCTGTCCCCTCGATCGCATGTGACACCACAAACACTTTTCCTTCTTGCCGGTGACACCACAGAGCGGGGAGTCCGGCCATAAGCTCTGCCTGGCCTC